ATCATTGTATCATCATTGAGCCTAATTCCCTCAATTTACAGAAAAGAAAACTGAGAGTTCAAGAAACAACATGACTGTTCAAAAGTCACACAGGTATTGATGAGTACTCAAAATTTCTAACCAAGTCATCTAACCCCAAATCCAGCATAAGGTACACTGTATCATTTCTATCTCTCATACTTCATTTAAAAACTAACTACATACTCATTTTATTTTTCTACTCATCTTTTTCTCTTTTATAATCATTTTAAAAATTACTTACATATTTTGAATTTATATCACTTTCATTTTAGAATACATATTTTTATGTCCACTCAGTGAGCCACATGTTGCAACAACAACACCAAAAAAAAAGAAAAGAATGAAAATGAGCTACCCAATACAGTGAATATAAGAGTATGTAGTGTTCCTCACCCATATCTCTCCTTTGCAAAGAAGTGAGGGAGATATATTTTTCTTATATTTGGCAACAAACTTTGTTTTTGTAATTATAATACACGCATAGAGACACACAGACACACAGACTCGCAGAGAGACAGAGACAGAGACACACACACAGAGACACGCACAGACACAATGTCTCTGTGTGCGTCTCTGTGTGAGCGTGTGTGTGTATATATATATACTTATATATATACATATATATGTGTCTGTGTGTGTGTGTATATATATATATATATGTATATTTCTGTGATTTATTTCCCAGTTTTGAATTTATATATCCTACATCAAGGTCAACACATTTTACAGAAAGCTATTATCTACCTTGTTGTTGTCTCTATTTCTCTTTCTCACTCACTCTCTCCCTCCATCCTAAACACAGAAACACACAAATATGTAAGAACAAATTCATCTTGAAGGAGCTATGATGCAATGAATAATAATAATAATAATAAACACTTTAGAATCCAAGAGTTTGGTGTGTTCTCATCGCAATGTAAGCATTAAAAATAAATTTATATTCCTAAGTGAGCTGATGATTGGGTTTAACATTTTTTTCCTTAAATCAATAATTTAAACCTATTTTAATTCCAATCAATCAAAATCAGTTTCAAATGCACCGAATGCATTGTGGTCTCCAAACATATTTACATTAATACCTCAAATGGCCTTTGATAGTATTACATTTATTTAGGTATTCCCTACTCCGGACAGTTTGCAAGTTTTTCACATTCTAGTAGAAATATCTATAAGTTATGCTGGTGACCAACTTTCTGATGAAAATTCCCTTAAAACCAACCTGTATTACTCAAGTCCTTATGATATAAAATTATGCTAGACTAGTTACTCTTTTGGCAAAGCCTGCAAGAAAGGTGACTTAACCTCAATGTTAATAAATGAAAAAGAAGGAGGTTGAGTGAGAAAAGGCTTGAATATAGACTTTTCATATAGGACAGGATAAGGAGACTTTCATAGCAAACATGCTTATAGATGGCAGCTGCCAACAAACAATTCAAAGAAGAATTCTCAATATAATTAAACCACATATATAGTTAATTATTGGTTTGGTTAGAGAGTTGGAATGGGGAAAGTCAGTTAGCTTGGAAATAACATACTAATTGTAGCTGGTCACAATTGGCTTTATCCAAATGACACAACCTGAGACTGATTTATCTTTTATTAATTCACCCTAGAAATCACAACTTCAGAAAAGGATCAAAATCACTTCAACAAAGTCGAATTGGCTTTTCAGAAAGAGTTAGTTTCAAATGCATATGTGGGAAAGCCTGTGTTAGTGACTTTTGTTGCTCAAAAGAACAATAAATACATCACTATCATCCCTAGGTAGCATTTTCATATAGCTTTAGGGTTTACAAGTACTTTAATGATATCATCATCTTTGATCTTGACAACAACTCCGGGAGTTAGGTCCTAATAATATTTGTTTTTTACAGATGGAAAAATTGTGGCAAAGAGTAATAAGGTTACTGTCCTAGCACCACACAGCTAGTAAGTGAGTCTAGGTTTGAACTCAGCTCTTCATGAGCCCAGATCTTATGCTCTATCTACTGTATCAATTAATATCCCATAGTCTTATTTATAACCCCAAAAAGAACTATTTAACTTTAAGATTAAAAAAGAGAAAATATGATGCTGCCTCATGCCTGAGCTTTGATTACCTTCTTATCCAATTACTCTAAATTAACATCTCAAGATTTGGCTTCTCTGGGAGCACATGTAATAAATCACTAATAAAATGGATAACTTAAAAAAACTACTGAACTAGAGGATCCACATAATTTGATACCAGAGAATACAAAATCTGTTTTTAAAGCAGGAAAAGTCATGGTAATTGGTACCTTGACTTTAATACTGGGTCATAGTTTCCTGGATTTAAAATCTCCTGAATCTTCCATATCCTTTCTTCAAAACATCAATGCTCAGGTTGGAGATATTCTTTTAGTTCTAGACCTTTAGTTCTCCTTCCCCTTTTTCCTTCCTCTGTATGCAGGACCAAATTTAAGTAGCAGAAAAAATGCTGCATTATTGATAGAGAGATACTTCTGTTATGGATAATTCTCTTTGCGAAAACTCCCAGCCTCTCTTTCATAAATTTCTCCTCTAAATGCAAATATATATTTAGTGTGCTCTTTGTTCACTACAAGGACTTGGTGATGCAATGACCACAGAGACCTCAGAGAATGTATAATTGCTCTTGTTAGGAATTTTGCCAAAGTTGAAACAAAATTGTTTCATCCTCTTACAAACACTGGTATTCATAAAAATAGACCTTATGCCTTTGCCTAAGTAAAAAGTTTCAGTGATTCTCTTTACCTTTAGAATGAAATATAAACTTCTCTGACATGTAAATCCTTTCACAATTTGGCTATCTCTGAGCTTTCCAGACTGGTAAAACAGTTCTCCTCAAAACACACTTTTAAACTAGACATCCTTTGGACATCTTATGGATAACATATATAAAGTAAACTCATCTTTCCACTCTAAAGTCTTTCTTCTGAACTCTCCTACTATTATTGAGCAGTTGGTGTCATCCTCCCAGTCACTCAGATTCATTATGTAGGTATTATAATTGATTCCTCACTCTCTCATCCCTTATATCCAACCTCTTATGAAGGTTTGCTGATTTTACTTTCGTTAAATTATATCCATATCTATATCAGAGGCCCTCATCCCCTCATGCCATGACTAGCACCATAATTTATTAGTGGGCATCCTTGACACAAATATCTCACAATAGTACAGTCCATTCTTCACTCACCTGTCAAATTGATGTTCCTACAATACAGATCTGACCAAGTCAGCCTTACCTTTGCTCAATAAATTTCAGTGGGTTCCTATCATTTCTAGAATTTAATATAAAATACTAAGTTTGGTGTTTAAGTTCTTTATGTTCTGATCCTCTCTCAACTTTCTAAGATTTATGTACCTTATTACTCCCCCCCACATATTTTATGATCCATTGACACTGACTTCCTTGCTGTTTCTCATATAAAACCTTCCCTAGTCCAACTCATGGCATTTTCACTTGCTGGCCTGGAATTTTTTCCTTCTTCATCTCTGTATCTTGGCTTCCCTCAAGTCTCAACTAAAATTCTTTCTCCTATGAGAAGTTTATCCTGAATACCCTTTACTTCCAGCATTTTTCTTTCATTGATTATTCCCCATCTGTCCTATACATGCCTTGTTCCTAAAGATTGTGTGCATTTTGCCTCCTGTAGTACAATGTGAGCTCCTTGAAAATGGGGAGATAATTTTTCATTTTGGGGGTGTCTTCAGTGTTGATGCTGTGTTTGGCAAAATGTGGATACTTCATAAATATTTATTGGCTGACTGATACTATATCCCATCCAGACTGGTCTGCTTGCTGTTTCTTATGGGCTAGATTCTCAATTCAGCCTCCTTAACCTTGAACAGCCTGCTCAAAATCATTAATGTTGTTGTTCATTCATTTCAGCTGTGTCCAACTCGCCATGATCTCATTTAGTGGTTTTCTTGACAAAGATATTGGAATGGTTTGTCATTTCCTTTTCCAGCTCATTTTATACATTAAAAAACTGAGGCAAACAGGGTTAAATCACTTGACTAAGGCCACACAGTAAGTTTCTGAGGCCAGGTTCAAATTCATAAAAATGGATCTTCCTGACTCTAGGCCCAACACTCTCTCTACTGTGCCACCTAACTGCTTATTATCATTAAGACTTTCCCTCTTTATCTCTCCCTTGAGGAATTTTTAGGATTGTCCTCTCAAGGCTAAAATCAAGTGCTCACTTCTACACAAAGCCTAGTATGATGACTCCAAGTTGTTAGTGTTATCCCTCCCATATATTACATTATCTATCTATCTATCTATCTATCTATCTATCTATCTATCAACACACATAAACACATAAACACACATATTTGAATATGTACACACATAACAAATATATGTGTGTACATATGTATGTATATTTGGTTGTGTATGTATATATGTATGTATAGATATAGATTTGTGTATACATCTAATTTTCTCCAAAGAAATGTAAAATTTGTAAGGTCAATGATAACTTACTTTTTGTTGGTTAGGTTTCTTTTTCTGTCATTAGAACCCAGACCTATATTCTTCTCTTCAAAGAACTTGGTAATTGTTCATAGAATTGAAGTAAATTGAACTAATGAAACTGAAATGTATTCTTGAATTAAATCAATGATTAGCTTTTACATAATGGGTTAAGTGTCTTGGAGATCCAGCAGGGCTGGTCTAGTGTTTACTTTCAGATGGTGTGTTGAGTAGCACTAATGTAACACAGTGGTAGAGGTGGAGGTGTATTAATGTAGAGGTAGAGTTTCACAATAGGAACTCATCTATGCCTAGGATGAGGATTGTCTTATAATCTTTTAATAGTTTCCTTGTCAGAATGAGGTTCAGAGGTGAACTGCTAACTAGGGTCAGAGTCATGCTTTACAGGAATCAAGGATAAGATTAGGGTCAAATTATTGAGGGGGGAACCTTTTCCAAGAAATCATTGTACAATTTGAAATTATTCTGGAAGTCATTTTTAATTGATTGATTCTGTCTTTTGGAATCTAACAATGATGGGGGGGTGGACAAAGAAGAAGACAACCACTGTGATGTGGGAGATACAAGTAGAAAGGGTTTTTTGTCGACCTTCAAGAGTTTGAGTTTTTGAAGAGTGTAGAATGACTCCATAGGAGATAAGCAAAAGCAAAAAGATAATTGTGGATATTACTCTCCCATTGGCAACCACCAAGATCCCAACCATATAGGTATCAGTACAGGAAAGTTCCAATAAAGGGTACATGTCACAGAAGAGGTTATCAATTACATTGGGTCCACAAAATAGGAGACTAACAATAAAAAGGAGCTGAACTAATGAATGCATGAAACCTCCAATCCAGGATGCCACCAAAAGCAGAACACACAAATGCCACTTCATAATGACTAAGTAATACAAGGGTTTACAGATGGCTATATAGCAATGATAGGCCATAAAAATGAGGAGGAAAACTTCAGCCCCACCAAATAGGTGTTCCAAGAAGAGCTGAACCATGCAAGCTTGGAAAGAATTGGTCGCCTTTTCATGAAGAATGTCTAGGGTCATTTTAGGGACAACGACAGTGGAATAGAGTGCATCTATAACAGACAAGAAGGCAAGAAATAAGTACATAGGGGACCTCAAGCTCTTGCTTCTGATGACAGTTATGATAATAAGAATGTTGCCCACCATAGTTAAAATGTAGATAATAAAGAATACAACAAATAGTGTTTTTGCACTTCAGGATTCTGGGTAAGCTCCAGGAGGACAAACTCAGTGACATTATTCCCATTTTCCAAGCTTTTTTTTTTTTGAGGTGGGGTGGTAGTGTGGGAGAATAACTATTTATTGGATATAGCTCCAGTCTTGTAGTTAGCAGAGCCTCAAGTTCATTTCACACATCTTCCCCTTTCAATGGACAATCTGCTTAACTTCATGGGCATCAGTTTCCTCCCAAAATACTAGTGATAATAGTGAAACATTATCTGCTTCACAGAACTTTTGCAGGCAGGAGGGCAAAGAAGAAATAATGGACAGTCTATTTGCAAATTTTAATCTTACATATAAAGACTGTTAATTCTTCTGGAGTTTCAGCAGTCAAAATTTTACCTATAAAGAAAATTATGAAACATAAACATTTCATTGATGCCCTTTTCATATCACTTTCATTTCTCAATAAACCTTCTTCACTTGAAAGTATATGAAATAAGCCTTAGTCATAGTCTGTCTTCCTTGTAATAAAGAAAAGAAACCAGACTTTCTCAAGTATTTCTTGTGACAACTTTGATCACTATGATGACATTACATTTCAATGGTTCTTTCTTCTTATATTATTTTCAGTGTTGTAGAGATCATTTTCCATTTTTTGCTGATTTTACTGTGCTTTAATTCATAAAAATTCTAATGTTTCTCTAAATTCCAGATATGCATATTTTCCAATAATACAGACATGTTTTTTAATATTTGAATATTCCCCAAGAAATGGGCACTTACATTGTTTTTAGTTTTCTTTGCTACAAAATGTACTCTAATGTATATTTTGCTATATAAAGGACCTTTCACTGGTGTCCTCTGGGGTGACTGCCTGGCAGTAAATTTCCCCATTTCCAATGACATAAGCATTTTAGTTTCTTTTTGGAAATTCACCCTGTTCAGTGCTCTTCTAAAATTTACAAGATATTTCCTCTTCAATATCATAGTTTGTTCTCATAAAAAAAGAAAATAATTGTTAGTGGTTCCAGTGGAAAAGAGGCTAAGGCAGAGAAATGTAAGACTGATTCAAAGCCCTTGATTACCTAAATGACAAGATTTGTATTTTTAAAGTAATTAAATATTTTCCTTAAATTATCTGTGAGTTGTCCAAATGACCTTACATCACTAAATACTTAAATATTAATAACATCTTCTGTCATTCAATCAATTGGGATTGTTCCATTGTGACAACAAGGATTTTTTTCTCGATAATATGCTTATTAAAATACAAGTAATCCATCAGAGGATATCACTTTAAACTATTATTGATACTTTTCCAAATATAAGTTTACAATGTCCTAAGATTGAAAGTGTACTAAATAAGTGCATGTGTTTTATTTTTTTTTTAATTAAAGGGAACTCATATAGAACTAGAAAATATTAAGCATTACATAAATGTCACAAAATAATTATTATTGTTATATTATCATCATCATCATCTCACGTTCATCAGGCATTTCAATGTACAGGGAAGAAATGAAAGAGATCAAGCATTTATTTTTACTTTAATAGTTTTTCAGAAGGTATTGTCTCAATAATAGCCAAAACCAGATCCCTAAAACACTCTTCTGAAATCAATACCATATGACATTTTCTGGACACTTTCTTAAGCCTGATATTTATATTTTTCTAGTCTCTTTGCAAAGATGTCACTTCACAGTGGATAATTTTATAAAGTGCCTCATGTATTTCATATCTCAAAATAATCAGCTGAATCATTCAATTTCTTCATTTATATCTGTAACTACTTAAAGAAATTAAAAATTATTCATGTGTGAAGACTGCCACCAGGGATTTTGTTTAATTCTTTATTTTGACAACATGACTCTTTCCCATTTGACACTGAATTAAGTGAAAAACACTCATTAAGCTTAGGTTAGCATCTACTTAATAATCTTAATGCACAGCATAGTTTGAGATAGAATCAGAAATGTGAAAGACGTAAATATATTACCTCTCCATGAAGTCAATTGTTCCAAGTCATGGATTCTGATTTGATGGTGAAAGATGGCAGCTTAGGGCAATGAAAATGCTATTCACCACCATTCACACTGTTGTCGCTACAGAGACAGAAAAGTCCATGGTAATGCATTTCAGCTGAGAAGGTCTACATAGGTCTATTTATTTCCAAATTGGCCTTCCAATTTCATCACATCAATATTTTTCCAACAATTGCACTTCTTTATGTTGTGAAGTTGATTCCATGTGATTCCAAAGACATTTATGTTGACAAAGGAGGATTTTATCCATATTCAACAAAAGCACCATCTCATGTCTGTGAATCACTCCAATACTGTATTCTTAATACTCTTTTTCCTTTAATTAAACCTTTGAGGAATCTGCACAGAGAACAGGGCCAGTCCACATGTTCCTTCAGTTAAATGTCTCTGGAGTTGCGTCAGAGTTAAAAACCTTAATTGCAGAGTGAAGGAAAAAAATGAGTTTAAAGGAAAAAGCAGTAGAGATATTTTCAAGGGAAATTATTATTTTCTTACAAAGCTAGGGCTATTAAGAGACTTTATGTGGTTCCTTCAAAATTGCCACAGATGACAGCTAGAGGCTCAGGATTCTAGTCTCTTGAATTGTTAATTTGCTACAGAATTTAGAAAACATGAAAAATAATGCATACATCATGAAACTATGAATACACTAAAATATTTTTTTCCTGAGGGAGTCTATAGAAATATAGGAAATTGATTTTCTAATAATACTTTAATTAACTTTTAACATTTAATACTACTTGTCCTAAAATGAAATTTATATTATGTTTGATATTTCACATATATCTTATAAGTGAAAAGTTTTCTAGCACATGAACCCTACAGCATGAAGAATAGACTAGAATTGGAAGAGTAGTAAAGTATTATTTCATTTGAATTACTAAACAAAAAGAAACATTAGGCAATTTTACCTTTTTTAGTATTCTATTTTTCCCTAATTACATGAAAATGTAATTTTCAACATTCATTTTTAAAATTGAGCTCCAAATTTTCTTTCTCCCCCCTGACTCCCTTCATTGAAAAGGTGAGCAATTTAATAAAGGTTATATATATATATATATATATATATATATATATATAGTTATGCAAAACATATTTCCTTATTAGTTGTATTGTAGAAGAAAACATACATCAAAATACAATCCCAAGAAAAAAAGTTTAAAGATATGCTTTAATCTGTATACAGGGGCAGTTAGGTAGTGCAGTGGGTAGAGCATCAGTCCTGGATTCAGGAGGACCTCAGTTCAAAGCCGGCCTCAGACACTTAACACTTACTAGCTGTGTCACCCTGGGCAAGTCACTTAACCCCATTGCCTAGCCAAAAAAACCCCTTCCAAGAAAAATAAATCTGTATACAGACTCTGTATTTAGTATTTTTTTTTTCTCCAGGGATAGATAGCATTTTCCATCATGAGTCCTTCAGATTTGTCTTTGATCATTGTATTGCTAAGAATAGCTAAGTCATTCCAGTTGATCATCTTGCAATATTGCTGTTACTGTGTACAATGTTCTCCTGTTTCTACTCATTTCACTTTGTATCAGTTCATGATACAAAGGTTTCCAGGTTTCTAGCTCATCATTTCTTACAAAACAATAGTATTTCATCCCAATCACATACCACAACTTGTTTAGTCATTCCAAAGTTGATGGGCTTCCCTTCAATTTTCAAATCTTTTACACAAAATACTTCCTTATATATATATATTTTTTGTATATATAGATCATTTTTCTTTTTTTATTTTAATCTCCTAGTACTGATATTGCTAGAACAAAAGGCATACATGGTTTTATAGGCCTTTGGGCATAGTTCCAAATTGCTTTACATAATGGTTGAATCAGTTCATAACTCCATTCTATAACTCATAACTCCATAACTCTACAATATATTAGCATTTCAATTTTACCCTATTCCCTCCTATATTTTTCATTTTCCTTTTCTGTAGTATTAGACAATTCTATAGGCATGAGGTAGTACCTCAAAATTGTTTCAATTTGCATTTCTCCAATACATAGTGATTTAGAGAATTTTTTCACATGGCTTTAGATAGCTTTGATTATTTCATATGAAAAATGACTTTACATTCTTTTAACATTTGTCAATTGAGAAAAGACTCTTATTTTATGAGTTTGACTCATTTCTCTATATTTGAGAGATGAGGTCTTTATCAGAGAAACTTGATTCAATTTTGTTTTCCCAATTAGGATGACTAAATCTATTTCCCTCCATCTTATTTCCCTCCGTTTATTTTGTTGTCACAGTCCTCTTATCCTATCCCTCCTCAAATTTTTTTATCTGACTTTCACACTTCCCAATCTGCCTTCTCTCCTATGACAATCTGTTCCTTCTCTTATCCATTTCCCCTCCTACTTTTCTGTAGAGTAAGACAAATTTACTTGAGTGTGTATGTTATCCCCTCTTTCAGCCAATTCTGATGAGAGTAAGGTTGATGTTTTCCCCACCACCTTCCCCATCTTCCCCTCCACTGTAAAAGCTCTTTTGTACCTCTTTTATGTGAGATAATGTGCCCAATTCTACCTCACTCTTTTTATCCTTCCAGTGTATTACTTTTTCTCATTCCTTAATTTTATTTTTAGATATCATTCCATCATATTTAACTCACATCTTTACCCTCTGTTTATATATACTCCTCCTAACTTACCTAATAATGATAAAGTCATTATAAATTACAATATCATCTTCCCATGTGGGAAGGTAAACAGTTTAACCTTATTAATTACCTTATGTTTTCCCTTTCCAAATGTTTTCCTTTTTATGTTTCTCTTGAGTCTTATATTTGAAAATCAGATTTTCTCTTCAGGATTTGTTTTTTTTTTAATCATGAACGCTTGAAATTCTTCTATTTCATTGAATATCCCTTTTCTCCCTTAAGTATTACACTTAGTTTTTCTGGATAGCTGATTTTTGGTTGTAATTCTAAATCCTTTGCCCTCTGGAATATCACAGTCTAAGTACTTTGATCCTTTAAAATAGAAACTCCTAAATCTTGTGT